TCAGCGGCAAAAGCGCCTGCCTGGCAAGCGCAAGGTCGTGAGTTCGGTTCCCGGTACCGGAGAAAAACCAAAAAAAAAAAAAAAAAAAAAAAGTAGCACCCTACCAAATCAAGAACAGAATGCCCAAGCTAGACCTTCTTAACTAGAACAATGCTCAGATAAAATGATAAAGTGACATAATTGGTGAGTAGGAGGTATAACCTAAGTTGGTGTCAATATAGTAGCTGAAAAAAGTGCTGTTGATTTATAAGAGAAAATAAGAAAAAACAGTGCAGCTTTGACACAGAAAAATTATTTTTCAATAGAAAAATGTCTCCTTTAAGTTTATCCCTCTGATGTGTATAGTCTTTTGCAGAGGACTTCTTTTTCAAATAGTAAAAGGTGATTGACTTTGTTTCAGCTAAATCTGTAATAAGCACTCTTTAGTACTCATACTGTTTATTAGGTCTCAAAAGGCAATAGGAAAGATGAAGTATATGCCTGCTGCCCTCCTAATGTGAATTTCAGATCTGGCCTAAAAGCTGATACTGTCATCATTGTAAGTCCATACTGTGACACATAAATTATGTGTCTATACTGTGACAACCTCCTTCTAAGGCAGAATCTCTGATGCAGTTTTAAAAATTGGTCTTGCTGGTAATTTCACCTATGAAGTGAAGAACACAAGAAAAGAATGCAGCTCTCTGGACTGAATTATAACCAATAAGGATAAAAGAAAGATTATGGAAATCCTTTTAAATGGATGTGCCGTGTTATCATAGTGTTCATATTAGTGAAATGAGAACATGCAGGTCATTGTTAGGTGTATAAACCTGGACAATGCTTGTTTATTTCTTAATTGCAAAGATCATAGAAACATTTAGTAAACAACCTGTTGTTTTTGTTGTTTTGCATTTTACCCCCTTGTCTGACAGCATAAAATTCATTCATGTTCTTGGAATTCAGATCCTTTGCACTGTAACCAACCCAAGGCTTTCCCATTAAATAGTGAATTATTATTGAATCGTTCATTCTCTCTATTCTCTGGCCACTCTTTACTGTCCTCTTAGGAGTCTTGTTTGTCAGTCATACCTAAACATTGTTCTGTCCTCAGCTCATTCTTAGGCCTTAAATTTAGAGCTCTGCCTACCAAGGCACACATACATACCGAACTGACTAAGTCACTTCCCATGAATTGTCTCGTCATCTTTCCTCACCATTGAAGGTATAAGACTCTCTATTCCTGGGCTTTGCATATGGCCCACCCACCTACAAGTGTTCCAGGTTGTTAGAGTATACCAAGGTAACTAAGACAATCTCTAGCACCTGTTATTTTGGAAAATGAACCATAATTCTTTGTTCTTGAAAAATTAAATAATTTTGGTCTTTCACAGTAGGTTTGACATTTGTTTGATTTTTCTGAAATTTTTAATTTTTCAGATGGTCGTATAAGGTACTATTAATTGCATTTCATAGGGAAGAATCCTCAGATTTCTAAGGTTAAATAATCCTCCAACAGTAAGTGGTGGGTGATCATGTGAAACCAGGTTTGCTGGGCTCTGTGTGTGTTGCTGTGCCGCCCCACGTTCTGCCTGTGCATGAAGTAACACAACACCGAATGTTACTGATGCTAAAGAAAAAAATACCAAGCCTGGTGGAACCAAGAAAGATAAGTATTAAAAAATAAATTGACTTCTCTACAGGGAAGCTTTAAGAAAGGAAGGAGTGGCTCTGTGCAAAATGACAATTTCAACACGTTGCTGGCTAGAGGAAGTAGCACAGGGTGCAGGAAACGTTCTATTCTGAAGGATGGTTTTCAGGAATACATTGCTGCTGCTGGCTGGACTACGGGGAAGAGCAGGAGAGTTTAGCTAGGATAGAACAGAAATCGTCAAGGAAATGCAAATCAAAACCAGTGAGATAGCACCTCAGACCTTTTAGGATGACTATGACCAAAGAGATGGAAGAGGGCAGGGGTGGGTGAGGATGCAGAGAAAAGGGAACCCTTGTGTACTGTTGGTAGAAATGTATATTGGAGAACCTTGAGAACCTTATGCAGAGTGAAATAAGCTAGTCACGGAAGGACAAATACTGTATGAGTCCACTTACTTGAGGTATCTAAAATAGTCAAACTGATAGAAGCAGAGAGAAACCAAAAAGCACCTATTCAAAGAGTATAAAGTTTCACTTATACAGGATGAATGAGTTCTAAAGATCTGCCTACCATATCATGCTTATAGTTCACAGTGCTGTATTGTTCACTTAAAAATTTGAGTAGAACTCATGTTAATTGTTCTTACCACAATCAAAAAGCAAAACAGACTAGAATAGAGTTTACAGAGTTAAATATTAGAGGAATTGGAGACGTTTAAAGGCTTAAAGAACAGGATGGAGTTAACTGAAGCTGTACTGTAGGTTTTTACTTTATCCTGGTGGTGTAAGCAAAAGGTTGGCAGGGTTCTCCCTGCAGCACTTTTGGCACAGGCTGAACAGGGCAACTTTGTATTTGTTTTGTTCAGCTGTCTGTAATCAGTAACTGCAACACTCACCATGGCTTCTAACGCATTGGTCAGCCTCATCTTGAGACAGGATTCCTGTACCAGGAGGCCACAGCGAGGAGAAGAGATTTATTTCCATGACTCTTCCTTCAACTCCACTTTCTTTGCTAATATTTGAGAGTAAACCTTAGTTCCCACAAGGTTCTTCCAGATGCAGCAATGGTTTGGCCATGCCCACTAGTTCCATTCACTCCAATGAAAGGAATTTTGGATAGATCTCCAAGCACTTGGAAATTTGGAGAAGTCCGTGGTCTGCCAAAGGTCTGAGAATGTATACGTTAGCTCTTGGCATTTTGGTCAGCATCTTACTGAATTTGGCAAATGGTCCTCACTGCTGGTGGTCTACAGTTCTTATTTCACTGAAGATGGAGCTTTCTTTTCTCTCTTTCCTTGTTTTTTGTTTTTGTAGATTTCACGGAATGAGTATAAAGGTTTTTATTTTGCCACATTGAAAGGTCTAGGCTCTTTCTGATAGCTGAGTTAGGAGAAGAACATCTTTTAGTGGGCATCTAACAGCATAGTATAACTTCTTTGGCTGCAAAATAATTCTAGATTTTCCCTTTAAAAGATGACCTAAAGATGACCAGATTTAAGTGACATCTCTCCCATTTGCCCACTCAAGGGTGAATTTAATCACCTAGATGCCTACATATAGAAGTATGGTTGAAATAACAGATTATGGATTCTAAGCTAAATTCATCTAATCCAAGAAATTGCTGGGTGCCCACTATGAGTAGAGCACTGTGGGCCCACTAGAGCATTGTTCTAGGCACAGAGGAGGCAGCAGCAAACAACAGTCAAAAATCTCACTCTTACCAATCTTATACTCTAATGAGGATGCAATGAATAACAAATATTTTAAAAATAAATAACAGATATTTAAATATAAAGTACAGTGTTACCAATCTTATATTCTAATGAAGATGTGGCAAATAATAGATATTTTAAAACAAGGTAAGTAATAGTATGTCTCCACAGTGTCATGGTCTTTGGAGAAAAATGGAGCAAGGAAGGGTGGAAGTAGCACTA